CTGATCTACTTAAAAAGATAAATGAATACGAAGGCGAAAATTGTTTCAAACCTACAGATGGTCACTGTTTTATCAAATGCGTCAATCGTGTTTTGAACAAAGATTTAGCGTGTAAATTTCAAGAATACATCAACGGGTTTTCAAAAGCAAATAGAAAAGGAGTGATGACTTGTGCTAGAATGAAGGAATTCAACAAGAAATTCAACACTTCGTTTCAAATTTATAATCCCAAAAACAGACATTTTCATCCCAGAGACGTTCACGATGAATTAGATTGGGTTTTTTACTTACACAACATGCATATCTGTCTGATTAGAAGAAGCCAACAAAGTTTGGGAATTCAAGAAATAGGAGACAATTACGAACAGGTGTGGAAAACGTGTAGAGACGATAACGCAGTAACACAGGTTTCACCTCTCAAACTAAACGTGCTTTCAAGTATGAGTGATGATGCGTTAATCGCTTGGGATTGCGAAACGTATTCAGAAAAAGACACGCGAAGAGCAATTCCTTATGCCTGCACTTTAATTAATTTAGAAAAACTAAGAAAAAAGTTAGAAACGATAAAAGATATATTTCTAAATCCTACTGATAATGTTCCAGAAGAATTTTATGATAAACTAATGAATGTAGAACTATTTGTAGGTACAGATTGTATAGATCAAATGTTGAAATATTTAGGTCAATATGATAGAAAGAGATTAATATTAATTTCTCATAACGGCAGTGGATTCGACAACTGGATCGTGCTTATAAATACAAAAAAAACTAACGCATTGCCCTTTAAAAACACCCAGAGGAATTCTATCTTTTACTTTATCTAATCCATACACAGATGAAGATTTACAGAAAAAATGGGAAAAGACAGAAAGAAATAAAGGGTAATTATTTACAACATATTAATTTCACATGTTCCTATCAACATGAAAAATCTAGTTTGGCTGCATGGGGAAATTCGTCCAATCTTCCCGCGAATTTGAGAAAGATTGCCGACATAGATATCGCTAAATACACGCAAGACAACTGGGAGAAATTGAGACACGAATGGGAGTAGTATA